ACATAACAGAAGTTGATATATCAAGTTTCTTGTCTTTCCTATCTTGTTAAATGATGGCATAAGATGCTAGATTAGACAATTAGTTAACCATCTTCTGCTTTCTTAACATTTCTCACTTTTATCTTAACAAGCCAGATACCATCGCAAAAATTCAGTTCAATGAAAGCCAGATCCCTTCACCTTCTGTTTAGAAGTATAAATATAGCTTCATTCCTTAACTGGAAAGTTACCAGTGTCACATTGCAAATCAAGGTAAATTTAAGACTTGCTGACTCCCCAGAGGAAGCATATTACTGCAAATTATAAATTGCTTAAATATTTGTGGCAAAGCTGAAAAAACAAAACTAAACAAAAAACAACCAAAAAAACCTAAACAAAACTCTTGCACAGAAACATGACTGGATTTAAGACAGCTCCTTGTTCCTGCTGCTTGCACTTTACCTTTGGCATTGTTTCGGTCAGAGCCATACCAGATCATGACCAGAGAAATCTCATGTTGCCCTTTTAAGGCAAGCTAGAGTTTTAGTAGTGTTCTCTCAATAAGGAACAATAAGCTGCTTTTCCACTGACTTACTGTCACCCATCAGATTTACAGTATAGCCACGTTGGACAAGGAAAGTCAGTAGAATAATACAGGTATATACCTAGGTGTTAGAAAGTTTACTTACATGATTCATTTCCTCCTGGAGGCTGGTAAAAAGAAAGGCCCAAGGATACTACGGCTGCAATTTCTAATATAATTAGTGTAACGTCCTGTAGTGCTTCCCATACTAACTGAAGAAATGTTTTTGGCTTTTTAGGAGGTATAAAGTTCTTCCCAAAAACTGCTTCTCTCCTTTCTATATCTGCTGGGTTTCCACTTAAACCTATTTAATAATAAGACAAAAGTTAGTGACACTTATTAGTGACACCCTCACAGTAGAAGTAATTGAGGTTTCCCACTCACAGAGTCAAGTCCCACTCCATATTTCAGTAACAATGCTGAAAAGCCATATCTCAAATATAATTACATAAATGTTATCTTTAAATCAGACTCACTGTAGAAAACCAGCTATATTTTATAATTCACATTTTGTCAGTATAAAGTAAGCTGATGGTCTACCTACTTGCATTTAATATGACATAGCAACAGAGTAATAGTAACAGACATACCTTCATACAAAGTAAACAAGTTTGCAAGACAAGATCACTGGTAGAGTTACTACTATCGAGATTGAGTAGCACTATGCAGCTTTAGCAAGACAACAGCCTGTGAAGCCAGCTCTGGTTCCCACTGTAGGGATTCTGTATTCAGAGATAACATCCTAGGATCCTACAATTAATGTAACATGTACAATGAA